CATCTGTATTTCGTCTATGACGGCGACATCAAACTGCGTGTTGAGGGGAGCCATCTCGACGGTGCAACTATACATGTAGGCGCGCTCGCCCTGCGGCATGCGCTGTTCCTCGCCAGTAACCAGAGCACATGCCTTTCCTTTTGCATCCAGACGGGTGTAGACTTCGTGGGCGAGGAGGCGCAACGGGCCGAGGTAGATGCCAGACTTTACTTCTTCAAGGCGCTTGAGGGCATGGTAGGTCTTGCCCGAATTGGTGGGGCCAACGTGCATGTGTACGGTGCGTGGAATCTCTCGAGTAGCTGGGTACCATTCGGCGGGATATCGCAAGTCGGCTACTTCCTTTTGGTTTTCCAACTCAGCTACCGTGGAGTTTCCGCCAAATATCTGCTCGTAGAAGCGGTATCGCAGCCATGTCTGAAGCGTATCCTTGCCCCGCCTGGCCTCGCCCACCAGCGCCTGCAGTTCGGGTATCCTCCGGTTGATCTGGACGTCGATGGATTTTTTAAAGGCGCGCCACTGGAGGTCGAAGTCATCTTTGCTGATGTGAAGGCTCTCAAGGTACTCTGGCGTTGCTAAATCCTTCTCGACTTTGAGCAACTTTTCCTGGATAATGCGGGAGCCAGGCCTGGTGCCATCTGAGCGAAAGGGATTGGGGATTCGGAGAACATGATGGCTGGAACTTTTTGGTCGTTTGGCAGGAGAGCTTCGGTGCGCGACTTGAATTATCGGGAGGAGGCGTGGTGGTTGGAGTCGTGAGCGGGCGGCGAATGCGCAGAAGAAACACAGCGAATTCCGCCGCACTGGCGGGGGAAGCATGCCCGAAAGAGGTGTAGGGGGCTGATAAAGAGTGAAGAAAAAGAAAAGGACGAATTAAGAAAGGAGGAGGTAGAGTGCAGAATGCACGGGGGCAATTATGGGCAGCATGTCAGTTTGCCAGTCGACAATGTCATGTCTAGTCGTAGTGCATACTGTACTAAGAAAAAGTTGGGCCAAGCCCCAATTCAGAGACCTCCGGCGGGCAAGGGCACCGCGGCCGCAGCTGCAACACCAACGGCCAAGCTGCGACGCGCTCCCCACATCCCAGACCCAACCTTCACCCTCGCCCTCCGACTCTGCACTGCGCATTGCTGGCATCCAGCTCACTACGCCTGCGCGCCCAGCATATAGTCACCACAGAGTCACCTATCCTCTTGTGAACTCCTCTCGTCCTCCTCTTCTCACCGCGGCGGCAGGAAGCCTGCCATACCCCGCCAGTATGGCCTCCATGATAGACATCCAGAAAGAACGTACGAAGACACCACCAGACACCGCGCACTAGCAAGACGACGACAACTGATATATGCGCTTCTAGTCATACTCAACGCCATCCGACAAACCACCCGCGGCGACGTGCGACAAGCCTCCCCCCGTGCAGCCCAAGCACAGCTAACGGTGCCCAGTGGAAGATACTCATTGTCGACGAGTACAGCCAGAAGCTTATCAACAACGTAGTCAAGGAAGATGATATCCTCAACCTCAACATCACCAGTACGCCCTCTGCACTGCGCTCCCCAGCAATGCCTCCTGACCCCTTGCAGACATCGAGCGCATCGAAGACCGGCGGCAGCACATACGAGACATGGACGCCGTATACATCCTCACCCCCAAGCCCCACATTGTCGACTGCATGATGGCCGAGTTCGACCAGCGGCGGTACAGGGGCTTCTTCTTGATCTGGACGACACGTAAGGGCACTGTGGTTTCGAGACACGGGCTTCAGGCTGATGCGCTTAGTACTCCCTCCACACCTTAAGGAGCGCATAGACCGCTCGCCAATGGCGCGCGAACAGATTCGAAGCTTTCGGACAGTCCACCTTGACTTCCACCCCCAGGAGTCTAACCTGGTCACCTTCAAAGATCCCTGGAGCTTTCCCATCCTCTACCACCCAGAATGCAACAACCTCGTGGTTCGGCACATGGAGGACATTGCCGAAAGAGTAGGCAAACTTGGTCTGGTATCCAACTTTGGCTGACCCTTCCCAGATCACAGGAGTATGCGTTGCGCTCGGCGAATATCCCCTCATACGATATTACCGACCCCGAAGCCCAACGCACGAGGCCAGCGTCTTATGCTCACACCTTGCGCGTTTCGTGCAAGACAAGCTCGACATGTACGCCCAGTACAACCAAGATTTCCCTCCCCAATCCAACCGGCCCCGCGGTACGCTCTTCATCACCGACCGGTCCATGGACCTTATGGCTCCCTTTGTTCACGAGTTTACATATCAGGCAATGGCCATGGATCTGCTGCCCATACAAGACAACGACAAAGTGACCTACAGGACCAACGTCAACGAAGAGGACCCCGGTTCAGAGGCAAAAGACATGGAGATTTCTGATAAGGACAAGATATGGGTTGAGAATCGTCACCGACACATGAAGGACACCCTCGACAAACTCATCAGCGACTTCCAAAAGTTCATTGCCGACAATCCCCACTTCACAAACCAGGACGCTCAAAATGCCGCAGGTATGAATGGGCTCAACGCCATCAAGGACATGATTGCTGGGTTACCTCAATTTCAAGAAATGAAAGAAGCGTATTCACTGCACCTTACCATGGCACAGAAATGCATGGAAATCTTCCAGAAGCACAAACTACCAGACCTGGCTTCGGTGGAGCAGGTAAGCCAGCCAAGCTTCGATACTGCAATTGTTGCTGACTTATTAGTGCCTGGCCACTGGACTTGACGAAGATTACCGGAAGCCCAAGAACATGACTGATCAAATCGTCCGGACGCTGGACGAAGATGAAGTAACACCAGCCGATAGACTACGCCTAATCGCCCTCTATGTCCTCTTTAAGAACGGGATACTGCCAGCCGACCTGCAGAAGCTCATTTTTCACGCACAGCTACCACCACCTGACGGCGAAGTCATCCGCAACCTTGATCTGCTCGGAGCACGAGTAGCAAGGCAGCTCAAGGAGAAGAGAGATGCGCCTCAACCTCTTTTCCCACCCAAGCCAGCACCACCACCAAATCAAGAAGACTATGGATTGTCAAGATTCAACCCGGCATTACAGGATATGCTAGAAGAACACATTCGCGGGACGCTTCCTCAAGACATCTTCCCCTTTACAAAGATGTCGCCTGAAGATGCAGCCAGCATGGCACCAGAGAACAATGCCGCTCCTACTTCTCTTCGCGCTGCCAAACCAACCTGGGCCAAGTCACGACTAGCCAGTGCAGAACCGCGACAGCGTGTCATTGTGTTCATGGCTGGTGGTGCAACATACTCGGAATCTCGCGCTTGCTACGATGTTTCTAGTAAGACGACGCGTGATGTCTTCCTTGTCACCTCACACATGATGAAGCCTCAACTCTTCTTACGCCAAGTTGGTGACCTTAGCCAGAACCGCCGCAACCTGCGCCTGCCTATCGACCAACCCCAACCAAAGGCTCCGGACCATCTTTTCGAGAAACCGGAGCCGCCAAAGCCAGCACCACCCCCTGCTGGTGCTAAGCCACCTATGCCTGGAGGCTTGCCGTCTGGACCAAGGGTTGGTGGCCCGAAGCCTCCAACAGCAGCCATGGGCGCCATGAATCTCAACGCACCCAAACATAGTCCGACGCCGTCACAGAGCAGCACAAAGCCCGGTAAAGAAGAAAAGGATGGAAAGGAGAAGAAAAAGAAGAAGCTGCACTTGTTTTCCTCCAAGCATTAATCGAGAGGCTGAGTCACTGCGCGTTTGGAGCTGATGATGCGGTCATTGTTGGTCTTGTTTTGTTTCGTTCATAGCGAGGATTGAGGTTCCCGTCATCTTCTGCATGGCAAGGCGTTGGATGGCGCATGCAAAATTTATTCCAAGGTGTTGATAGGCTAGACTTGGCACTAGGTGTCTGTCTGATCAATCATATAGAGCAGGTCTTTTTTTCTAGGGTACTTGTAATAAAGGAAAAGATTTTGGTTCCATTCAGCCTTCATATCAAGGCATTCCTTCTGCACTTCCCCTCGAACGTGCCTCCTTTTTCTTTGGTAACTTGCCAATCTCCCATCTGTTTTCCATAGCCTCTCCTAATAAGCCCACCTTGTAGAATAATCTTTCGGACTAACAACCAAACCCTTGCCCTTGCTCGCCCCGCGATACACCATCTCGAGTATATCAATCAGCTCCTGCTTGTCGCTGATCGGGAAATTAATCTTGTTATTATTCCCCGTTCCAAAGTCGACTTGGATATGCTTGTTGCGCCAGAAGAACATGACAGTACACGGGTCGTAGATTTCGTACATGACGTTGAAGTCGGGGACTTGCTATGTCACACGCAGATAAGTCAGTTGATTTGTACTTGCACAAAGAAGACATGTTTTCTGAGTGCCGGTGGAAAGAAAGGAAAGAGTGAGTTTGTCAGGAAATAATGAGGAAGTTGAAAAGGAAAAAAAAGGGTGTAAAGCGTACCTTGTTGTCCACGAGGTAAATGACTACCCAGTCCTTGACTTTCTCCACAATCTTGTACAGTTTCTCGTCCATGTCCATGCATGCGGGGTCTGCGTCGTTGCCGAAGCGGAGACACACTATGCGGCGTTCTTCGGTGATAATGGCTTGGTCGACGTGCCATGCTGAGGGGAGGTGCTGCAGCATTGCGGAGCCCATAGTGCTTGATTTGCTGACAGACAACTAGGTGAAATGGGGATTGTATGGTGAGGTTTGTTTGCCAAGGGTTTGAAGAGTGTGATGTGGGTGATAGGGGGGTGGGGTGTTTGTTTTATATCAAGGAGTCTAGCTGGGAAGTGAAAGATAAAATAGAGCATTTACGTGTACACTCATGAGTGAAGGAAAGAGCAGTCATGTGATTAAATATTGGGTATCGTGTTTGTCTATTGCCTCTTTTCCCCCATTTGCTTCGCTCCATCTACACCCAAATGTTATGGACTCTGCATACTAGCTCCAAACAATTAATTCACATTAGAACCCTGTAAAGTACAACAGCAAGAACAAATACACCTCGATAAAAGGTCACCTAGCCCCTCACTGCATGAGAATAATACTCCTCCACCCTCCTCTCCGGCGCATAATAACCCGACAATTCACCCGCAGCGTCCCTCCCATTCCTCTTCTCAATCATCTCACGTACAAACTCCTCATAACTGCCATATGGCTGTCCTCTCTCTTGCGGCCTCTGTGCTGCCCACGCTAAATATGCTGCTTTCTGTTCTTCAGGCGTCTGACTAGCACCATATGGTGCTGGCTGCTGTTGACTGAGCGTTTGGTGAGCCACATGTGTACGCCGACGACCTGTGACTGGGTCGAGGCCCGCTGCTTCACGGGCTTCTACGAGCAAGTCGTTTTGTGGGACGACATTTCGCGATTGATATGTTGTGTTGTTTGGTGAAGTGATATTGGACTGAGTGTGACGAGCCTTTTCGTACGGATTGGACTTTCCGCGTAGCTTGTTGACAAATGAAACAGCGGTTGACGTGACTGAGATGCCGGTCATGTTGACGTTCAAGTAGAGGAGTGGTTTGATGATTATTATGTGAGGTTGCTGGCAGACCAGCAAAGAACAAGGAGGTTTTTAACGCCCGCGCCATAGGGCGCCTTGCTGGGCAGTTGTCTCGGTTGTAGCCTAATGTCAACAGGAGGCCTTCTGAGCCGCAGAGCGCTAACTCTATAGAGCGCCAACATGAGTCAAACAGGAAAGGCGCCAAAAAAGTTGTTCAAATGGGTAAATCTTGTTTTCAACTAATAGAGAGTATATGTCGCTGGTTATCTACTGCCTCAAGGCCGAAATTGGTGCAGGATGTCCATACATGGTGCCTTCTAGAGTGAAGAAAAGAGAACAACAGCAATCGAAAAGGTATTAAAAAAGCCAGCTACGAAGAGAATTACAACCAGAAATATACAACATGAAACAATTACCACATTCTTCCCTTACCCTTCCTACCAGGTGCAGGACTGAGTGGAGGAAAGGCATCTTCGGCATCCTTCCTACTCTGCTCCTCAGCAAGACTAAGCTGCATCGCAAACTCCAGATCCGACATTTCATTCTCGATGCTTGATCCAGCCATTACCCTCTGGGGAGTGTCGTTTCGAGAGCGTGCAGGCGAATTCTTCTTGCCTTTAGCATACTTGATCGGAATGTCATAGGCAGATGGAGGCGTCGATGTAGATGTAAACATGTCGGGACCTTGGTTGTCGTTGAGAGAAAGGCGTATGGCTTCGGCAATATCCGCATCGAGCTCTTCGTCATTTTCAAGGACAGATGTTGAGGCCTGGCCCCGAACACTAGACTCCGGAGTCACAGTCTCACTGCTCAATGCACTCATCTCCAGCTCAACACGGCGCTGTTCCTCAGCTTCCATTGCTTCCTGAGAAAGCATCGCAGCATACGCCAATGCCTCTTCTTCACTCAACATTTCCGTACCAAAGCGCCCCGCCAGATGTTCAGCTTGCTTATGGCGTTCTAATCTGTCACGTTCCAATTCGAACTGCTCATTGGCAATGTAGTTTTTCAGATTAGCCCGGCCAGCACCAGGGAAGCGCTCTCCGGTGTTGTTACTTCCGCGCTCTGCACGCCGAAGCTTGCGCTTGCTGCTTCTGTACTGATCAGCCGCAGAAGAGCTGTAGCTCCAAAAGCGGAGCTGGTTGCCAAGCGACACAGCACCACGCAGAACTGTTGGATCGGGATCTAGGTATATAGCGCCAGCAGCAAACATATTGATCCCGACACCTTGAACAGAAGCTTGGGCCTGTACGAGCTGTCTTCGAGCACGCGAGGCGTGGCGTGAGTGCAACGTCGTAACCGGTGACATGGTTGAAGCGAGAGGATCCCAGGCCTGCACCAGACCATCATTTCCACCCACGACAAGATACAGAGAGGTGACTGCCAAGCACGAAATCTCAGGCGAGTCGGTGTAGATAATACGGATAGGCTCAATGGTGTTTTGAAACTGCGCAGAACGCGACACAGGTAACCGGATATCCCAAAGAAGCACGACACCGGATTTTGTACCAGCAGCTACATATCGTGCGCGTTGACCTGGTATGTCGGACGGAGATGAAGGCTGACTTGCGACTGATAATGGCGAGGCATATGGCGAAGACGCAGTTGATGTGGTCGAGAACCCGAGTGCAGGGTCTTCGGATAGAGTGAGAGTGGCAAATGTAGAGGTATCTAGTGTAGTCGTGGTGATTTGCGTGTTCTTGAAGCCACCGAATCCAAGCTTCGAACACCGCCACTCTTCCACCAGACTCGCTCGTTCAGGTGAACTAGTCGTGGATTTGTACGATAAGCTGCGAACACGCGGCGAGACACTTGCTAGACCCGGGACCTCCGGGCCTACGCCGCCAAATAATGAAGATGTCTGAGTAGGAAATGCTGTCGGCATCCGGATTGGCGTGTTTGGACTCTGATCCTTCTCATCTGCTTTGCATCGAGTAAAGCGTGTAATATTAGCGACGTCACCCTCTTCCAAGCCGCATTCAAACACAACTATTGCCTCGCCAACATCGTTGCCATCATCGCCGGCAAAGTCGACTTCAAGTCTTCTACGCATATCCCATCCGAGGCATACTTTACGGAAATGTTTCGGCGGCTTTTGTAGGTATTGCTGGATTTCTTTGGTCTCTGCAGCAATCTGCCCTTTGCTCAGACACATGCCATCCCATGATGTACGAGGTGAGTAACTCCCATCTATTTCGGCATCGCTGTACGGATCAGGTCTCGCACTGCGCCTGCTGGGTTCAACAATGTTCCAATACACGCTCCGGCCAGTCAGCCACGCCAGGTACTCGGAATATTGCTCGACATCGCCCTTTGGAGTCTGACTACGAGTTGGGAACTTGGTGAGATAGAATAGCTCACCAAGGGCGTTCAGAGCGACTGCCCAAATTCGGTTCTGGGCATAGCGTTTAGACGAGTATTGCTCATCCACGGCAATAGCAATGATGGGTACACCTGGACTGAGAACCCAGCGCGCAGTTAACTCACCGCGCTGTACACGAGACGAGCGGAGACCATCTGTGCCAATGCTACAAGCACTGACAACACCATTTGCAGAGCCAATCATCATACCAATCAAGCCCTCAGAAAGCGTTGGAATGGTGTTTGATTTCGCGATCCAGACGCTGCATGCGGCGCCTATATTAGTACCCAGCTTGGGTATACCAGCTTCTGGCATGGTAAGATCGGTAGGCTCAGCGATGAAGCGACCCCTCATTTCTTCGAGTGAACGGTAGTAGCAGGAGCCTTCTGGACAGCCCTGACCATAAATCATACCATAGGGCTGTGATATATCCATTACGTTAGGACACCCAACGACATCTCCAGAACCTAGTCCCCATTCAGCAACGCCTGGAAAACGTTCTGCGAACTGAGCGTAAAAGTGAGGATCGCTTTGTCCCCAAGGATCTACTTTGCCAGCCATTGGATCGCTGCTAGTTACCATGCCAACGTCGTCTGCGCCATGAATGAATCGAGGCATTTTGTTATTTAGACCGGATCCAAATGTTGCGTGTAGGTGATTGATAATAGTATATGTCTTGGCATCATAGGTGATCATTGGGGCCACTGTCTGCATTTGGCCGGCGCGGGACGGTGTTGTAGGTACTTGAACGGGTTTGCCTCGGACCAGGGATCGTAAAAGTCTTGTTCGCAAGATATACTCGCTTCTCCATGACGCCAATGCAGTAAGTCTAGTGAACCTCCTCTTCTCAGACCGTACAGCATCGCCGCTGTCTTCCAAGGCTGAACGATATTGCGCGTCTTCGAGCGCGTGTGGACCTGGAAAAGAGCGACCAAAAGCCACCTGCCATGCGTGCGGAGTAGTGACGACATCGTGAAAGCGGCGAGAAACAAGAGAGACTGCGGCAAGATCGTTGGGTGAAAGATGCGCAATAGCATGAATAAGTACCTCTGTACGAAGTTAGTGTCTGGCCTCGATATGTCATTTTTCTGTAGAGTATTTGCAGAACAGTTTTCACACACCATTTGGCAGCTTCGCGATAGGGCAGCTTTTGTCGTCTGGGTTTCTGTTGCTCTTAACAACTTCGAAAAGAGGACCATCAGCAGGCTTTCGCGGTGAGTTGGTTAGCGCGTTTTCATATTCGGTGATCCTGTCCCTCGGAGGTGGTGAGGGTCGCGCACCGCCCTTCAGTCCATTGGTTTCCACAGGGGTGAAGCGGTCGATGACTTGGGGCAAATCTGTCGTATCGCGTGTAGGTCTACCGACTGGGACTCCGGGATCTCCCCACGGCCCACCAAAGTGTGGCTGCAGAGAGTCCTGCAAGTTATCATTGCGACGGTGTCCATGCTGGGAAGTGGTTGCGGCGTCAAAGGTGGCGTGTTGCTGGGAGGCGCGTTGCGATACGTTTGTGGGCTCTGGCTGCATAAAACTTTAAGTTGCTTTCTTGGATGTGTGCGATTGACCGAGCTTGTTGGGAATGCTCAGTCAGAGTTGATTTTGTGCGGGCGCGGGTAATTGAGCGTTAGACGGGTGTGGTTGTCAGGAGGAGTGTGTTCAGAACGGAAGTTTTGATGACTCGTTTGCCAAGACAAGCAGTTGTGACGGAAAGAGATGACGATCGCCACTCGCAGATAGAGAACTCGAACGTGGGGTAGGCTGAGGTAACACTGGCTGTTCAAGGTCGCCGCCCCACTCCCTATCCATCGGATCGAGCTGACTCCGATATGCCCCGATGCGCAATGGGTAGTTGTTCTTTCCGCCCATCGAAAACTATTTCTTGGTCTTTGTTGAAAAGTGCTCTATGCAAAATATTTATTCAAATATGTATATACAAGACATGTAGCAAGGCTTGGTTAGGAAACAACGAAAGAGATATCGCGACAGTTTCATGGCACATAAAGCCGTGAGTATGCCGCTACATTCGTCCTACAGCAGACGCATGTCGTGTAGTTCTTCGACGCCAATCCCACCCTGCATTCATCGCACAAGCTCAGACATCCACAGGGCCATACCAGTACCGTTCTCGGTGCCATTTGGCATACTACACACTGAGGCCCTTCAGAGCCCATGCCTTCTGCCCCTGTATCCCAGCTGCCAGCATTGCTCCTGCCCGGCGGTGCTGTGGCGCTTCGGCGGCTGAGGATAAAGTCTTCAAGGAGCTGCTCCTCTTCCTCTGGTGACATTGCTATGTCACCGCCTACTTGGTAACGTGATGTTGTCAAAACCTTGGCTTCATCTCGCTCTAGAGCCTTACGATATTGCGAGCGCGTCATGATATTGGGGCTCTGAAGATGTCTAGATAGTAACTTAGCCTCCTCGCGATCTTCTTTTGTTTTCGGATCGAGGAGCTGCGAAAGGCGTGAGAAATCCATGGCGTCATCCACCGAGGGTGTCTCCTCTCGACTGTGTCGATATGTGTCGCGCGTTGGCGTTCTCTGTCCATCGTCAATATCAGACCATTCGTCGTTGTCAGTTGTGGTGGCGAACGAAACTACACTAGTAGTATCATCGTCCTGTGCGACCACATAGTCTCTGCTGTTGTCGACTTCGTTCCAAAGACTGCCATTCCGCCACCAAGAGTAAAGGTAGTCGTTGAGACGTTCCTCAGATTCTTCCGTATCCGGCTCAGAGTAGAAGCCGCTCTGTCGAAGCCTCTCTTTTGCAAACGATTCGACATCAAACGTCGGGTCCTGACGAATCCGATTACGATTGTCCAAGGTAAGCCACGACTGGCTGGCTGATATCCGATCTGAACGCGATGCTAGCGAATATACCTTCTCGGCTTCATAAGCGCCAGCAGCACGCCTCAGCCACATCGGCCGGTAATTTATGCCAACCTTCATTAGAAACCAGCCTGTGACTTTTGCGACACCAAGGATGACTAGCCTCGATATACGGACGAAGAATCTATAAGTCTGAACGTAGCGGCCGCGCTGGTGGCGGGCTGGGTCATCATGTCCCATGGAACCCGAAGGGTCGGTAGATGTTTTGGCGCTCCTAGTCTTCCGCTCCTTTGCATAGCCTGAGGTTGATGCGTCTGATCTTCCGTCGTTGAGCTGATCGATCACCTCAACGCCTTGAGCGAATGTATCATTTCTGAGCTCTGCTGGAATGTCGACGAGCATTTCTCGACGTCTTCTCCGACGAGCAAGGATTTCTTGAAGTCGCTGCTTCTCTAGCCAGGTCATAGCGTGCACGTTGACCTTGGTGCCTTCATTCAGAAAGACTGCCTCACTCGCGGCAGTCAGAATCACATAGCCCACCTTGAGAATGGTAGTATAAAAGTCCTCATGCCAGTTAATTGTCAAGGGTGAAACTGACGATAGATGGATGTTGGCGTGAAGGTTGCTGTAGGCAGCTGCAAATCTCTCGCGCAGTGTGAGAGATTCGTTTTGTCTTGCCGGAAGGGAAAACGCTGTAATGAGAAGAGCTAGCAAGTAGATAACGCCGCATGCAATCATACCAAGTATAATCAATAGGTGGGGAATGAAGCCAATGATGCACACAGTGGGAAACCTCAATATACCCACATAATTGTCTGGGTCAGCGACCATCCATGTGAGGCGAGCAAAGCTCCAAGCGAAAGCCGAAATGTATGCCAGTCCCCAGATTGTGGTAGTAATCAGTCGGTACTTTGAACGCACTCCTGCGATCGCTAACAGGTTGCTTGTGAAATGGCTAACACTTGATATAAGAGATATAAGCAAAACTTCCGGGGGAACATTAGCGATTTTGGAGAGCTGCGTTCTCTGCAGCATGAGTGACGTGCCGTTCGGTGCGAATACAGGCTTTGGCTTGAAGAAGCGTGTTGAATCGACTGCCAACGGCCTAGTAACAACAGCTTCGGCTTCGGCGAATGCAAGTGAGTGTTCGAAGAGAGTCATTCCAACTTCTTGAATAGGGCGCCTGCCCTGAAGAGCGCAGGCTAAAGTGTCGATGAATTGGCCAAACCCCAAAGACAGGAAAATGGGCCAAAGGAGAGCCAGCGACCCAGAATCTCTTGTTGCCGATGAATCTTGTGGAAGCATGTTCACAGCGTGGCAAGACTCTTCGGTAGTTTCCCAGAATAAGATTGACGATGCAAGACGCCAGATAAAACCACCCTCGCCGCCGAAATCGGTATCCAGATGTCTGCCACTTGCTCCATATTGCATTTCTGACCAGTCGGGGGAGGTTTGACATCGTATCGCTCGGAGCACATTCGAAATTTGGTATAGGAACAACAACAGGGGCATAACGTAGAGAGTGAAACGCAGGTAGAGGCGGTCGAAAGATAGAGGTATGCGGCTGTTTCCGTAAAAGTGAGTGCGGTTCAAGAGAATTGCCTGTGTGTATGTGATAAGCAAAGGATCACTATTCTCCTAGGCTCGTGTGCAACTTACAATAGCAAACGTAGCAATTGCCCACTTTGATGTTATGTAGCTGAACCATGTCGCTACATTTCTCAAAGCCTGCCACACCGTCATATCACTTTCTGAAGATGCCGCCACTGCAGCAGCGGCTGTAGAATGAGACTCTTGTATAAAAGCAACTGTGGAAGTTATTGTATTGTTGGTTAGGTTCGCCGTTGGCTCTGCTATCACGCTACCCCCTGCGCGCATCATATCACCCAAAGAACTAACTTTGGAGAGAAGACGAGGAAAGGCCATGAGCAGATCTGCTGACGATGGTAGGAACGAAGTCGCGTTGGTGGACGCGCCGGGCGACACCATTACGGACGGTTTACGGATACCCGGGGATATCTGAAGCTCGAGGGAGTGCAGAGATCTAGCGACTATTGGAATTGGTACATGGCGATTACAAACGCGCAAATACGAGGCTGACACGCCCTGATGAGATATCGACAAGAAGCGCTTTGATGGATCAGCTCTGGTTTGGGCTGCGAGTTGGCCGTCCTGACGCGGCAGTCGTGGGGATGACGCTAACATGCAGCCCGGGCGACCTGGTCAAACCTCCGCCCCATCCTCATCCCCGCAACCTACGCACTATCCGGGCAAATGAGTCGGACCAAACCCGACAACACATCGGCTTTTGCCTGTTGGGGTAGAAACACGAATAAGTATCCCCAAATACATGGGTCATGAAAGCAAACAATTGTTTCTTGGCCTCCAAGCACTGGGCGCAAAGAATACATAGCAATCACCAACATATGAGCCAGCACCTTCGCTTGCCTGCAATGTGCCTAGGTCGCTTACATGTGATTGTGTAGTTGCCAGAGACGAACTCCACACCCACGCCCCTACGTGGCCGAGATCATACAGAATTCATTTATGCCTCGCTCTCTGAAGCATTTCATTGACTGTGTAGGGTGCGAAAGGGGGTGTAAAGTAGGTGTTTGCTATTCGTGCGGCAGTGCCAAGCTGAGATATTGATAACATCACGTGAGCCCCTGGAAAATCTCGAAGTCCGCGCAAACATGATATCCACGAATATAATAAAGCTGTCCTCATTTTTCTGGCACATACGACCATTGGAAACTGAGAGCTAGCCATCCCGTCCGATCTGGCATATATAAGCAGTTTACCGGCGGATTAGTAGTCAGGTGGGTGACCACTGGCGAATCCCCGCTGTCGTATGTTTTTGTAACTCTTTGTTTTTTTGCCCATGCATATTTGCAAGTCACACGGTAAGGTATTGGCACGACTGGTATGGCGGCATGTGGAGCACTGAGCGGGAAGAGCGAGAACATGGCTGCATTCTTCCATTTTCAAAAGATTGGCCACTCTCTGGGGGCCGAACATTTATGGAGGATGCCCAGGCTGGAGACAAGGCCATGGCCCATCTGCCCAGCGTGTTTTTAACGCCATTGATGCCAAAGATATGATACAAGTTTGAACTACGTTCTTCTGGCTTATGCAGTCTTTGGTTTCTTCGTGCCGTACTTTGAACGAGCAGTAATTCTGTTACCAACACCACCCTAGGACATGTTAGCAACATAGTTTTTGTTCGCAAGAAACGAGTTCTTACCAGGTCCAGCGCTCCTCGAACCAAGTGATATTTCACACCGGGGCAATCTTGTGCTCGTCCGCCTCGCACCATGACTACAGAATGCTGCTGCACATTGTGTCCTGACGTCCCATTAGCAATGCCCAAGGTCTTGCAAGTCCACAGATATGCATGCCATACCTTCACCAGGAATATATGCCGTAATGACCTTGCCTGTGCTCAGTCTGACCCTCGCAATCTTCCTCTCTCCCGAGTTTGGTTTCTTAGGCTTGGTTGTTCCCACTTTGAGGCACACTCCTTTGAGCTCCGGTCGGTCCTTCAATTGCGGTGAACGAAGCTTGCGCGCTTTTTGTGCGATTCTCCCTTGTCGTAGCACTTGTATCAGCGTGCATTTGTGGGCGCGCGATGATGGCGGCGGGCGGATTGCGAGGGCTGGAGTGGTGGTTTCGAAAGCGAGGGCAGCGAAAGCAGGTCGTATTGATCGCGCGACAGCGAACTGTGCAGTCGAGAGAATTGATGGCCGTAGAAGGCCCCTCAGGAGTGAGACGGCCATATTGGGTTGCGGTCGGCGTTGAATCACAATGGTGGACAAAAGTTCATGATGCGATATGGCAGCTGACTAAGCCATCATATCCGTACCTTGCGTATTTCGCTGCAACAATACCCAGCTCTACTCGAGGCAACAAATCTGGAAATCCCAGACTAACACATTAGATATCTTCGTAATTTATTTCTAATGAGCGAAAAAAAGGTCACTGAAAATTGCATATATGTCGGCATGCAAATCTCCGCTCGATATGGTCACCAGAGGACTACTTGAGTTGACAAAGTACTTCTAGACGCTATCTACTCGACATTTCTATGCTTGAACATTAAAATGGGTCCATCTTTACTTTCACAAAGGAGATATACTTCATTGGGGTCACACCAAGAGGACCATGAGTAGATCTTAGCATATACCTATCAAGCTTAGCGCCGCTTCGGCCGGAAATACTTTTCCACCAGCCCGCAGATTTTCTCCAATCTTCCAACCAGCACTCCCAGCAGCACCAATCCTCGCCAGGATCACTAGGCATAGCCACTTTGGTGCATTGTGAACCGGCAACGGTGTCACTCTTTCAGCATGCATGCAAACATGGCCCCAGTGCCTTGCGAGGCTGCAGCTGCTAGCAGTGTTCCCACAGCTGCTTCCGGAGACCGCGACCTCGGCTGAACGCAACCCAAGAGTGCGGAGACCGCTTCCAACCGCTCTCTACAGTGCATCTCGCATCTTGACGATACCCCACGACGTCTACCCTTCACGACTACACAATGCGGACAGTCTCAGCGTTTGTTTCGCCTGTGCGAAGAACGGCACCATTTGCAGCACGCCAAAGTACACGGAGATGCTTCTCGAGCTCCCAGAACTGGCAGGCTACGTGGGGGTTCATCGGCCTTGGACGGATGGGTAAGTACCATTGTTGCTCAAAGACTGCATCTATTAACTTGTCATAGGATACCCAATGGCAAAGAACCTCAGGGCTAAGATACCAGCTGAAGACACGCTATTTGTGCATGATGTCAACACTGCGGCCACCAAGCAATTCCTTGATGAACATCCCCAGGGTGTCAAGGTCGCTAAAAACGTTCGAGAAGTTGCCGAGAATGCTGTAAGTAGATGCCACGTCCTCTATTTCCTGCACAATGTCTTGTGATGAATTAATTATTCTATCAATGATCTAAGTTGGGGGCCATTCGTGGCCCTTATTCTGATTACACAAATATTATAGCCAATCCTCTGATGCTTTCATATTCAGCAAATGTTACTTGCCATCATCATCAGAAGCAGTACACTAACGCTGATACAGGAAACAATTATTACCTCGTTGCCGGAGCCTAAGCATGTCAAAGCTGTTTTCAAAGAAATGCTGGAACCCCCAACGCTTCTCACAGATGGAGTGGTCCAAAACGAGCGCTTCTTCATTGATTGCTCGACTATTGACCCTATGACATCGGGTGAAGTAGCGCAAGCTGCTCACTCTACTGGCCAAGGCAAGTTTGTGGATGCACCCATGTCGGGTGGTGTTGTTGGTGCACAGGCAGGCACGCTCACTTTTATGATTGGTGCACCACCAGAGGCTGTTGAGGGCGCGACCAAAGTACTGTCGTTAATGGGCCGAAGAGTAGTTCACCTCGGCGGGCCAGGAGCGGGCCTCAAAGGCAAGCTGGCCAACAACTACCTTCTCGCGCTCAACAACATTGCAACTGCGGAAGCCATGAGTATGGGCGTCAAATGGGGCCTTGACCCCAAGGCTCTAGCAGGCATGATCAACACGGCGACAGGCAAGTGCTGGCCGAGCGAAGTCAACAACCCCGTGCCTGGTGTGATTGAAGGCTCGCCTGCTAGCAGAGGGTATGAGGGAGGGTTTGGGATAGCTCTGGCGAACAAGGACCTGAAGCTTGCGCTCAAAGCAGCAGCCGAGGCCGACGTCAAGCTTGCTTTGGGTGAACCAGCACGAGCACTATACGATGCTGTAGAGCAGGCGGAAAACTGCAAAGGAAAAGACTTTTCAGTTGTGTACAGGTACCTAGGTGGTAAAGAGTAGGCGAACAAAATAAAAGCAACTTGATTCAGTAACAAGGCCAATGATATTGTGATGTTTGGACTTTGCACGTGATGTCTGAGGATGATGCTAAGAGCAGAGGAAAAGATGGAATTTGTACGTTGAAAGGAACGGAAAGCTATCCTAGACGCCCCCAGAGTTGCATGAAAAAAACCTAGTCGGTTGCTCATCGGCTGCAGCAGTGAAAAAGTTGCTGAGGCAGATCAAGACAGTAATACACGTATTGAGAAGATGAGTAAGGGAAGGTGCCTCCAAAGCCCGCATTCCATCGCCATGCACATGCAGGGACTAGAATGGCATACATCCAGTACAATCAAGCCGTGTGGCTGGGTTCTCGCGCAAATATACCAAAACAAAAAGACAAGTCACAACCAAACCCACGCCCGATTTCCCGATACAAACCAAAAGCAAGTTGACGACCTCGTGAAAATCAATGCCACCAAAACATGACGGCTCTTATTACGGGAAAAGGCGAAAAGAGCAGGATTAAACGAAGAAGACGAAAAACAAAAAAAACAAAAAGGCCGCAGAAACGCCATTGTATCGCGTACATTGGGGCGAAACCCGCCGCAGAATCGAGCGGTCGGGTTCAAAGTCGAAATTTAATAGTTGAACATGTACAGTTCGTGTCGTCGTCAGTCATGGCAGAAATAGGTGCACACAGAGTGCAGAAAGGAAATCATCTCGAGTAAGGCTTGTTCATAAGGGCGATCTCGCGCGCCACAGTGGCCCATTCTAATTCGCGGCGAAGAGGTTCGTTGCGTCGCTGACGCTGGTACTCTTCCCACTTGAGTAGTTCATAGGTGAACCGAAGGTGAGGTTGTATTATGACATTAAGTCTTCGGGCTCGCACAAAACAGCTGGCAGGTATTAGCTAGAATCCCAACATGGAGAACAGGCACTACTCACTAAGCACGAGGAAAGGAAAGGCCAAGCTCTTTCATGACTTCGGCAATGCAGATGGTTGCCGAGCGAGAAACACCGACGCGGCAGTGCACAAGTGTAGCACCACCCTCAGCCCTTCCAGCTTCTGAATATTTGTTAGTGGTTCCCAAGACAAGTACGGGCCCGAATACATACCAATGAATTTTAAGCAACGCCCAAACTCGCCCCATAGAGGATCAACGCCATTATCCTGAACTCGGTCGATCATGAGAAAGTTCTCAATAGGCCAATTGAGTTCCTTTTGCATGCCCTCGGGCCAAGAAAGTGTCTCACCGACACTCAATACACGGGTAATGCCCAAGGCATGGAGAAGCTCTGGGTTGTTGGCATGGCCAAGATTGCCGAGATACATGTAGGGTAGAATGCGGCTGGGCAGGCTTCCATCAAGCTTCGAGAGCCAGCGCGGCTCAGGGATGTTGAGGATGCTCTGGTTGAAGCGGGGTGACTCCTGGAGAATGCGGGGTTGTATGGCTGTCAGAAGGGCTACATCAGATGGGTATGCGAAGAAGTTTCGGCCTTTTTCACGATGCAGCTTGATCCAAGCGTCATGAACGGGAAGGCCCTCAGCATACATGAAGTAGGTGAGTGCAAGAAGGGTCGTCTCGGTGTAGCCATCAGTACAATGGATCAAGAACTTGCGTGGTGTTGCAGTGTCGACCATTTCTATAGCTTCGTCCTCATCCTCCCTCCTTCGCTTCGACCTCCGTACTTCGTTTGGATTGGCCAATTCGTACATCCATTTGCACATGGCCATGAGACCATCGATCTCTCCGTGTGCCCAAGTGGGAGGCATGATACTCCCTGATGAGGGGAACTCCATGTGCAAAGCTGACTTGCGGTGGACTCTTTCCAGACCCATACGAAGAGCTCGGAGTGAGCGTGGTTCGGGTACATGAGCCAGATCGGTTGCCTCAATGAGCATGTCATAGGCCTCTGGTCCTAAGCACTCTGGGTGCAGTGTCTGGTCGGGTGTTGGACCGAGAAATACATTGTTGCTGATTTCCGATGCTTTTGACATCTCGCTCATCTCGTACCGCTCCCAGTAAACTAACGGCACAAGTTAGCCATTGTGATTTGCCAGTTCCGCTCTTGCTACTTACAGAAGTCTACAACTTCTCCCGTCATTTGTCCAGTAGAGTTGACAGCAATCAGCTTGGGGTGCTTTTCCTGCACCGAACTGAAAGTATCTGGAAACCATTAGCCGTTTGTACATGTAGCGTATGTGCAGGGTCAGAATTACCTGAAAGCATAAACGTATTGAACAGATATGGCGAAAGGCCATGCTGTGATTCATACTGCCTCTGAGCTCTGGAGATTTTCTGGGCTAGTGCTATTGTGTCTTCGGGCTTTGTCTTGTGGTCGCCGTAAACGATGATATCTGACACCAATGCCATTTTGCAAGTCTGGATGTGAAAGTTGCGCACGGAGAAGCCTTCCTTGGGATCGCATTCGAGGAATTGAGGGTTTTCTGAAGCGACAGAATCAAGTATCTCATCAGGGGCAATGGCACCCTTGAGCTTGGAGGACGAGAGGTTTCCGCCAGTCTTGACAATGGTGATGCTGCGAATGCACGTGGGGACTTTGCGGCCACTCCTGCGACGCGAGGAGAAAAAAGCAAGCTGTATCTGGTTGTCTGCATGGAGGCCGTGCATCCAGGGAAAGACTTGCTCAGGGTTCGGAAGCGGCTGTGTTGCCATGTGCTCTAGTGCCTGGGCCAGACGATCTGCAGTGATGGTGTAAAGGGGTGGATCATCGGAATACTTTGAGCAGTATGCATCAGGGGGAAAGGTGATTGAGGAAGTCTCAATGAGGCTGTCCTGGCGGGGAGGAGACGCTGGAGGCGTGGCAGGGAGTGCGCCAGGCGGGCAGACTGGAATGTGCTTGTTAGGAATGGGAGCAGGCGTGCCGCGGGATGACGTGTTCAGAGACAGGTGCGGTGGAGGAGTCGAGGAAGGACGTGGCATGGACGGGTAGCTGGCGACAGCAGCGGCCATGTTTGCGGTTTAGAGGCGAAGAGGGAGAAGAAGCAGAAGCAGAAGCAGAAGCAGAAGCAGACGAAGAAGAGGCAGTAGGATGCGGATGAAAGTGCGCAACGTGCACAATGGGCGTGTGGAAGGCGAGGAGTCGCTGGGGCAAGGCCGTGGGTGATGATAATCGGATAGGTAAGTAGCGGTAGGGCAGTCGCTCTTTCCCAATCAAAAAGGAGGACCAAGAAGCGGGGGGGGAGGGGGGGCGAGAATGTGTATCACAATCACGATGGGGTGGAGTGACAGCGAATCTTCTGTCGTGCAATTGATAAGTATACGGTACTGGGCGCATCGACGTGTGTTGCTTTTTTGGGACCTACTGCGTTGAGGGTTTGGCCAGATTGCGCACGCGTTGGCTGCTGAGTTGATCAACAGCCGGGGGGTGGTGGACACGGGTCTACAGCGTGAGGGCGAGCATTATGGGAGATGGGGGGGATAAGGGTATCAATGGAATTTGGGGGGTAGAAGTGAAGAAAAGAAAAGGCAGGGGAGGAGCAGGAAGAGCAGGAAGAGGATGCAGCGTAGGAGTGATATGGGCGTGTCTAGTGGTTCCCCGCTATCTGACCTCCCCACCCCTCCCCCCCAGCACTTTGGAAAAGGCGCCGTTTTCCTTCAGCTAAAGCTAGCGCTATGCTGCAAGCCACCCTGCAAGGCTTGCTTGGACGGAGCGGCGCGGATTGGCTCGCGCAGACGACAGTACTCTATGGGCATATGTGTGTGTATCGAAGGAGTAGGTGGTTAGATGAATGCACAGGGAGTGGCTAGGGTCCAGGGCGTGGCGGACAAAAGCAAGGCTGACTATGCGTGTGCGTGTGCGTGTGCGTAGACGAGCGTGGATGCGAGGGGCGCAGGTGTCGTGGCGGTGATGGCAGATAGCAAAGTGCCAGAGGGACATGGATGGTGGATGGTGCTAGGAGGATAGGCTCGCGGGGACGCAGTTGAAGGAGGACGAGGGTGGGTCTGGTGGGTGTGTGGGTGGAGAGAGATAGGCCTTGGGAGGCAGAGGAGGAGAGTTCTCGAGCATGGCCGGCCGGCAGCGTGGAACCGGGCTGACGGCTAGTGTGGCCAGTGGCAGGCGGCGCCTTGGGGAATGGCCCACTTGGCCGCAGCTCAGCAATTGCCACTGCCATGGCCGGCCAGAGTGAAGTCGAAGGCCTGCACTGCATCTGCATCTGCATCGGCCCTTGGGCGATCCATCACCAACCCATCAACCCCGCGTCTGGATGCGCATGCATGCTACTACTACAACAACAACACTAGAGTAGACACCACCAACACCCGCCCCCTCTGCCCATGACTACTTTACTTGCTCCTCTGCACACCGACATGTACATACACCTGCCCATGATGCTGGCCCGCCCCCAACCCCGCATCGCCCTCGCAACCTCCAACTGCAGTGCTGCCGAGCCAGGACCGGCTGTCTTTGTTGGTGCCCCAGTCCCGAGTCCCCACGGCCGCCGTCCCCTGCACCATCCCTTGGACTCGTCAGCCAATGCATGCTGACGTACCGCCTGACAGACTCGTTCAAACCGCGCTTGTCACAATCACAATAGACTTTTCTTATCGCTACCATCCACTCATTCATCACACGGCAATCACTAGCTATCCGTCTGTCCCGCCGCATGGTCTACACTCGACTTTAACTTCATGTCTCATTGATTCATGTCGAGCCTCATTGACTCGCTCGCTCGCTCGCCCCGCCCACTTTAGCCTTGATGCCCAGTAGCCTGCTCGCGTGCCCCTTGTGACACCTTCCCAACATCTTCCATACATAGTCCCATCATAAACGGATCCGCCCCTCATACATCAACCTCGGCCTTGATGTTCAATATCTCGTCCACAATCGATCGCTGCACACTAACACTCTTCCCCGCACTGCCCTCCTGCTCCTTGAGTAGCACAGCAAGCACCTCGACCGGCGGGTCAAGCCCGAGCCGTTGCGCTCGCTTCCACCGCTTCAATCGAGCGATTCCAGTACACGGCTACATGGCACCCAAGTCATCAGCAATTTGGTCGACGTGGAGCTCTTTTGCGTCAGAACATCGCTGATTGGGGCAAACTTACGCCATAGTGTGCGCTCATGTCGAACTCCCGAAGCACCTTGTCATGGAGACTCAACTCCTCCTGGTGCACTCTGCCTGCTCGCCTTTGCTTTTCCTTTTCTGCCCAATACCTCTTGACAAACCCATCTGACATGCGCCGCGCTTGCTCCTCCTCTGGCGACCTCTCCACTCGTTGCGCCTCGACTTCCTGCTCCGTTTGCTCAATAATGGCCACTTCAGTCGTCGTCGGCCCTACGCCTAATGTCTCCAGGATTTCAGGTGTTGCCTCTTTCAACTTCTTCTCCACATTGCTCTTCTTTGCGGCTTGTGCCTTGACACCAGACTTTGTGACCTTGTTCGTCGATCCGTGGAAAGCGAGCGTTGACTGCTGCGATTTGGTCGCCGCGCGCGGAGTTCTACCTTTGGGTGGCATGTTTGTCTATATGCGATGTATATTCCGAGTAGTATGCGATTCTTTGACATGTAGTAGTCGTGCGCGACAAAGAGGAAGCTGGGACAATGACGTGACGTGACCTCACTGGCCGACGGGCTTGGCGTCATTCGGACGGGCTTCTGGTTGGTTGCCGCAGTGATACGCGACTTCACGCGGTCACGTGATTACTAAAGAGAATCCACCCCACTATTGTTCCCAGATAGCGGACATGCTCTGTGCTTTTGCACTACAAACCGTTCCAACCATCCCGTAAGTCATCCTCCGCTTCTAATTGCAATCGTGATCTGGTACTAGTACCATGTTTATTTCCTGCATATATGTGGTTCTAACCAAAGAAATTCTTTGGATTAAAAAAAAAGAATAGAAAGCCTTGCCGGCGAATGTCCGTCTATGCAGGGTGTTAAAGAGCAAACATGAACCCTTGATATGTGCATTCATTTCGCACCATAGCATATGCAGACTAATTGAAAGTTCACCTAGGTTGGATTGTTGGTTGTTACTGACTCAAGTGTACACAGTCTCAACCCCATCCGAAAACATGACATCCACAACACCCCCCGAAGTAGCCGCCCACGTGGAATCTCTAATACCCAAATTCAAGCTCACCCGGCTCCTCAACTCAGACCAAGCTGGACGCCGCATCAGTCTACTAGGAACCATAGACTCGCAGCCCGCACTCCTCATCGCCGAGCGCGCCGCCTTTGACACGACCCCCGCCATCCTCGAAGGCTTCTCCACATCCCTACGCAACATCAAGAACCTTGGCGCAAACGACATTTACGCCTGGTTCCTCGCAAACTCCAACCCAAGTACCGACAAGGATCCCTCTTCGCCACCACCGCCAGACTTCAAAATCAACCTCATCTACCCATGCACAGACAAGCATGTCAAGAAATACACCCAGCAGCGCCTCCGCATCGTCACCGAAACACCACAAATATACACTTCCTATATCCGCCCTTATATGCGCGCTCAGCGCGAAAAGGGCGCTTTGAATTGGGTCTACAACATCATCGAGGGCCGCACCGAGCAGGAAGACGTCATGTACCGCGAATCCGGGTCCGACGGCTTTCTCCTGCTCCCCGACCTAAACTGGGACCGCAAGACAATGGGCAGCTTGCACTTGCTCGGCATAGTAGAGCGGAGAGATATTTGGAGTGTGAGGGATTTGACCAGGGACATGGTGGCGTGGGTACGGCATATGAAGGAAAAAATGGTCGAAGCAACCGTGGGCTTGTATCCGGATATTGAAAGGGATGAGTTGAAGTTGTATGTGCATTGTAGGTTTTTTGTTTTTTGTTTTCCTTTTCACACTTTCCCTTGCTATCTTTACCCAAAAGACGGAGGAAAAAGAGATTTAATAATCTTATTAGATCAACCGACATACTACCACTTTCACATCCACATTGTCCATGTTTCACTGGAAGCCGGAAACACGCAAGCTACAGGTAAAGCTCTGGGCTTGGAAAATATCATCTCCCAGCTTCAAACGATGGCTCCTTCTTCCTCGTCGTCTTCGGCATCGCCCCCTGGTATGCAGGATGCCAGCCTGACGTACCATCTCGGTGAGCGGAGCGACTTGTGGGAGAAAGTGTACTTGCCGTTGAAAGAAGGGCGCGAGGTAAACGTCGATGACTTTTGAACAAGACAAGCAACTGTGCAGGAAAGAAAAGAAGAAGAAGAAGAAGAAGAAGAAGAGAGAGAGAGAGAGAGAGAGAGAGAGAGAGAGAGAGAGAGAGAAAGCTGACAATACATCTTATATGTATTAGATTAGATGGTATCTCTAGATGGTATCTATATGCATAATGTATCAAGAATTCATATCACTGCCTTTGGCATGCACATCCGGACTTTTCGCGCCCTCATGCCGCTTCTCGATATTCCAATCCGTCATTTCTTCTCCGTCATTATCGTCGTGCACAAAGTCATGCTCGCCATCTCCACAGAAACTACTCTCGCACATCGAATGCCTCCGTGTACTGGTCGTGTCTCCCTTCATGGCCCTTTCCCGCAGCACCCGGAATCTTTCTTCCCTCTCCCACTCGAGCCTCTCCCGAGCCCAATTCTTCTCAACGCGCGAGTACCCATAGAACCCTGCGCTCGACCCTATACTCCGCCTGGGTCCATGTAGCCCCCCGTCGGATAATGACCGTTGAGCCACCTCGCCCCGCGGTGCCCCACCAGCCCCAGCCGACCGCGATCGGCCACGCAATCGGCGAGTCCATCTATCGTTTCTTCCGTTCCAAACGAAAAAACTGCCCAGCAGCGTGCCGTCGCTCGTCGCTATCCCTCTCCATGGCTTCTCCTGCAGCGAAAAGACTAGGCAATTCACAAATCCCATGCTCACAATGCAAAACGAATTTGCCAACCGTATCCCCCATATCGGTTTCCGCGCATAATAGTCGTTGTACATCATGCAGTGGTATACAAATGGTGCCACCCACATTAATGTATACACTATCGGATAGATGAACGTAAGGCGTAGTTGGCAGTGGATGCGTGCGCGCTGGCGAATCATGCGGTTAAATCCTGGAGACGGTGGCTCCAACAGCCCAAGCTCCGGTGTGCTAGCAGCCCCTGGAAAGGCATGTAGCGTCGGAGTGCTAGCGCTCAGTATGTCTGTATGCGATGACGACACGCATGGGTGTAAACTATCGTTATATTCGACCTGTCCGACAGTCTGCCCACTTGGTATCGAGACTAGCGGTGGCCGGGCCGGGCCGCTGTGCTTGCCATGTGCATGGAAACGTCGTGTGCTTCGCACGAAGGATGAAGTGGTGGGGCTGGTGGAGGCGGCAAGGGTAGACGTTGGTCCTGGTGCTCCACAAAGCTCGTTACAGGTCAACGAAGTTGAATATCTACGCTCCGGTACAGTCACAGCTTTCTGAGACGTGGTCGAAGTACGCCGTGAGTGCGAGCCTGAGCTTTTTTGCTGCGTCATAATACTTGCGGGACGGGTTGCAAGCTCTTCGCTGGGCATGTAATCATCACCGAAGAGTGATGCTTTGGTTTGAGACGCGCGAATATTGATGCTGTTTCGCGTAAGGTCATTGTTCAAAGTGTATCCAAGTTTCCGGCTCATTGCGTTGTAGTTCTTAAACTCCCACCCAACATATGTATAAATTGCAATGGCCAGGCTGATGATGACGAATATGATACAGTACCTCGGAATCCATGTCAAGGCTAGCCGGTACCAGAACGGGCGGGTTGGAAGCAAGCAGTACGCGCCCTGCAAGCGATACGCTCCTTGAGTGTTGAGGAAAGCTAGGCTTGCTGATATTGTCGGGGCGCAAAAGACACATGCGTAAACATAGTACTTGTACGGATGTAGACCTTCCGAAGGCGCTTGACCGGAGGGCCGAAAGACCTGGAGTGCGGTATGTATGGCTATCATGAGAACAGCAAAATCTAAAAGTGGCTGTGAGGAAATGCTCAATAGTTGGGATACGCCGTCTTACCACTTATCTCCGTCCCAAACGCTATGAAGAACCCGCTCGATTGGCAATATGCCGACGTGCTCTCCACAGGCCCCCGAGCCAGCATTACAATTGCTCCAACAACGAAACAAAATGCTCGTATCAGGTCACCGCAAATCAAGAGCATAAGAAGCCTACACTAGAACCATGAGCGCATGCATCACTTGGGCACAATAGCACTGACCGATGGCGGAATTGTTTTTCCATGCGACAAACCCAGAAGAAGGCAACCAGGGAAGCTGACATACTCAGAGAGGAGAATACCAGAGCCACTGTCGTAATGACTCGGGTTCGTCGGTCGTTGGCGGCGTTAGGTGTCGTGTATTGGGTGCCATTATGTTCGTTCAACGGGACAGCAGATACGACAAAGGAAAATGAAAGAAAAACGATGCAGCACAGGCGCACACAGGTCGACATGATGCTGGTGGGAAGGATGTCGGAGGCAGGGGCCGCGCTCCTCGTCCGCTGCATCGCGCGGGTATCTTGGGTTGAGATCGACTGAACGAAAAAGCAAAGCAGATGATGATGATTAACTGGAAGTGGTACCGAGCATAGCGGCGCTAATATTAGGGTAAGATCGACCGCGCAGACAGCCAAGACATCAACGGTCCGTTACATGATTAGCAGACAAACTCCGTTAAAGCACGATGTGGCATATTTGCTTGGAAAAACCGCTATGCTATTCCTGGCCTTCTCCATGTGATCATCTCGTTGAAAATATGACAAGGACAGCGGCATATGGCAAGCCAGGATTCTGGGGTACCTGGTTCGACTCGAACAGTAATAAAACGTCACTCACCCCTTAATAAGGACTCGGTCCAGGCCACGCGGGAGGCTTTGCTTACGGCGGCTCGTACTTAGTCGCCCCACTATCACGACTGTTGGTCGACAGTGGTGTCAACCGTCGCAGCCACCATGGCAAAATGACGTGTAAGGCTGCCCCGGCCTTGGGGCAGACTGGCGAGCTTCCACTGTTTCACGTAGTGCTAGAATGATTCGGCGAGCGTGATCAGACTGAAGCGCAACTCGCCTCCACCGGCTTCGGCCTCGCGCTTGAGGAAGCTACGCACACCCAAGTCCAGGGCCTTGTCGCTAAGAAGGTCCTCTTCGGGAGCTAGTGCACCACGGTCGAGGGGACCTTTACGACGGCCGTCGAGCTCCCACAAACGGTTTTTGTCCGACTTGATGAAGCAGACATAGTGCAGGTCCACATCGGAATCAGCCTGGGGTGCAGCGGTATCTCCGCCCGATGCCGCACTTTGATGCGCACTCTCGAGAGCCTCGGAGTCATAGAGGAGGTCAGCTCGTTGGGCGGGTTTCAGTGGTATCGCATTCTGGACAAGCTTGGCTAGGTTGGAATCGGCTTCTAAAGGCTATGTTAGCAAACCTTGAAACCTTCCCGCGTAACGAGGGGGCTACTGACGAATGTGTGCGCGTGCCGAGCCATTCGAGACTGCATGGAGCAGGCCAATCAGGCCACAGGCGTTGCCGATGGTTTGCTTGTACCAAATAACCTCTTCGTCCGGGCCATAGCCCTGATATTCTGGCCTATCTTTGTCTTCTTGGATGCGGAACTTTTCGTATGTCTGGCTCACGGGAAACACAAGGAGGAGGGCATGGGCAGGCCGCGGTACAAAGGCAAGGAGTTCGGGGTCGTCGATACTGAAGACGTCGTGGAAGGCAAGCTTGTCCGACAGACCGAGCTTGTGAACGAGGGCCGTCATGACCTCCGGGTTGTTCTCTGTCGCATGTTACTAGGCGTGTGCCGTGGCAAGCCGGAATGACTTACCAAGAGGAATGAATCTCTTCCGGCCCTTGGGCACGTCAGGGGAAGCTTCAGAAGCCATATTGGTGCTGGTTTGAAGATAGTGTTGCGGGGAAGGAGGAGTGAGTAGAGGATCTCAGACGTGGGGTTGATGAGGGACAAGCAGCACACAGCGTCTACGGTTGCGTCACCCACGGTCTATGTATACGGCAGGCGTGTGCCTGGAGTCAAGAATGAGTTGTAGGCTACAACAAGCCTTTTTGCCACGGCCCATGCCATGCCATACTATGTCCACCGTAGTGCTAGAGGGCGGGGTCATCCCGGATGTAGTCGCCAGGGCGCAAAAGAAGAAGAGGAGGAGCAAGAACAAAAGGCGCCGGCATATGACGACATTCCCGCAAGCAGAGACAGCCTGCTCGAGCAAGTTTAACTATTCTGCGGTGATAGGCAAAAGAAAAAGAAAAGAAAAATATTGAGATGGCTATGCCGCAATGCGGCGGCGGTGGCCATCCAAGGGCCCGGGCGAACGAGATGGAGCTTCAGCGCCCCGCGGTGACGGCAGACTATGAATTTGACTCACGTGAATGATGCCTCTTCGCGCCCCAGCTTCAATTGCGCCCTCTCTTTGCAATTTTCACGCCAGATCAACTCAGCCAACACAAGCACGACTCAGTCAGCGCCTCTTCTTGTCGACACGCCTGGCAATTCCCCGCTCCTTGCCTGCAACGGCCCCCTCTACTAGCTTTGCGGCCGACTTCTTTACCCCACTACAGCCACTTGCTCTCAACTTGAACTTTTTCCACACAACACTTCCTCAACTGCACACCATGGCCACCCTCGACGAGACTGTCGTCGCCTTCCTCAAGAAGCACGCGCCCAACAACGCCGCCGACGAGACCGACGCTGTCAAGGCTTCCCAGGCCCTCTTCCCCACCGTCACCTACACAGACGCCGAAAAGACTGAGCTCAGCCAGTGGCTCATCACTGCCTCTCACGTGGCCTCTCCCGCTGAGGATGCCGCAAAGGCCTCGGAGCGCCTGTCGTCACTGAACACACACCTCTCCAGCCGGACCACCCTCCTTGGCGCAAAGCCCTCTGTCGCCGACATTGCCATCTACCAGAAGCTCGCACCCGTCGTCTCAAAGTGGAGTGCAGAAGAGAGGACAGGAGAGCAGGGATACCACCATATTGTCCGTCACATCGACTTTGTTCAGAACTCGCCAGTCTTTAGCCTCAAGCTGGACGACAAGGTCAACATTGACCCGGACAATGTCGTCTTCAAGATTAAGCCGGTAGATGCCAAGGCTGAGAAGGAGCGCAAGAAGAAGGAGAAGGAGGCTGCGGCGGCAGGTGCGGCAGCCTCAGGCGCCACGGCTACCACCTTGACTGGAGCCCAGGGTCAGAACGCACAGGGAGGCCAGGGAGGCAAGAGCAAGGCAGACAAGGCAAAGGCAAAGGCAGACGCAGCTGGATCTGCCGTCGCATCAGCAGTCGCCGGTAACCCGACGAGCGGCATTCCTGAGGGTGCACCAACCGAGAAGAAGAAGAAGGAAAAGAAGGAGAAGCAGCCCAAGCCTCAGAAGGCGTACGTCCGCTTCCGTTGAATCCTTTCATTTGCCTTTGAATGTTGACTAACAACCCATAGTGCGCCCGTCGAGAAGCCTCTCTCTCCCGCCCTCATCGACCTCCGTGTAGGCCACATTCTCAAGGCCGAGACCCATCCCAATGCCGACTCATTATACGTTTCCACCATTGCATGCGGCGACGCTCCCGGCACAGACAACACATCCGAGTATGAAGGCCAGATTGTTCGCACCGTATGCTCTGGTCTCAATGGCCTGATTCCCCTTGAGGAGATGCAGAACCGCAAGATTGTCGCCGTGTGCAACCTCAAGCCAGTCACAATGCGCGGCGTCAAGTCGTGTGCCATGGTCCTTGCCGCATCACCGAGAGTTGCAGAGGGTGAGGATAGCCACAAGGGCCCTGTCGAGTTGGTGAACCCCCCAGCTGAAAGCAAGGCTGGTGACCGAGTCTACTTTGAGGGCTGGGAGGGCGAGCCGGAGCCGGTGCTCAACCCCAAGAAGAAGGTCTGGGAAACCATTCAGCCTGGCTTTACTACCACCGATTCTCTGGAAGTGGGTTTTGATGTCGGTGTCGTGCCACAGTTGAGCGGCGAGGGTGCGGATAAGAAGACGGGTGTCGCCAAGTTGAGGACCAAGGATGGTCTGTGTAGCATTCCAACTCTCAAGGGTGGCGTAGTACGATAGATTCCCTTACCCTGTAGTGTCCATATACGTATCGTGACACATGAAAAGAATGACAAAAAACAAGAAACAATCACATCATGGGAGAAGCCATATTGTCCATTCTATTACCTACTTGTCATCAAGTGAAGCGTAAATTCGTTATGCTCTAGAACTATCCTGGGGTATACAAGGGGATGAAAACCGTGAAAAAAAAACAAATCATAAAATGCCCGCCAATCAACACTAAAACAGTCACGGTGCTCCGCTGCTTTCCATTTTGGGTTGTCCTCCTCCTTCTTCCAATTTAGAACACAGAAATAACAAAAACAAAATTAAAACAAGAAAGACGCATACGCATGCGGAGCTTTAGTCCATTAGGTTGACCGGGTACTCGAAATCGTTTTCGGCATCCGTTCCGTGTAGTCTCACCTGGTACAGGCAGGTATGGCTAGCACCCCAGTTGCTGGTCACACGCAGTATAACACGGGACACGGGCTCCGACGGCTCGCCCGACAGATCAAACGTCTGCAAATGGTTGGAAGCGTGAATGTTGTACTTGAACGAACCCAAGCACTTCCACTTGCCCCCTGCGCTTTCCGGCGGCGCGCTTCGGCAGCTTACCTCGCGATGACTGTAATATGGCTTGATTGGTCCGTTCGTCTGAACCCAGAGCTCCATGTCTCGAGGCGCGTTGTTGATTTTGCGGGCAGGCATCATACTCATGGGCACGTGCTCAATGGTGACTTGTTTGGGAATGACGAGACGGGGAACTCGAACGGCGAGCTGCGCCTGACCAGGTGATGCAGGGTCCGAACTTGCTGAACACCAGCAATCCCCAGGTTCCTCCCACTTGGTGAGTGCGGCAATTGGAGGGTTGCGATCGGGTATCCACGAGAGGCGGCGTGCGAGACCGGCAATGCGACCGGATTTCTTATCAAAAGTGACAGAAGACAGGTCCGGGTCAATCATAGCACCCAGACCTGGTGAAAAGTAATTAGGTTTTGTAAGATATAGTTCGTAATTGGCGACAAGATTGGCCTGTGCAAGGGCATTGAGGCGGATCTGGTCCAGCATAGTTTTCTTGGCTTCTGTTTGCATCATCGTCTTGAGCTGGGTGCTTTGGGTTCGGATGGCCTCCTCGATTCTCTTGTTTACCTGAGTGGTAAGGCTCTCATACCGCTGCTCCACCAGCTTGATGAATTCTTCACGTGATGCAGCCTGAGGCCAACTCTCAGTGGGGCTGCGCTCTTTATGGGCTGTGTTGTCAAAGAGTATGGCGAGCTTGGCTTTCGTTTCTTCAAGAAACTTCGTCCATTCGGGTTCAGAGTGTGCCTTGGCTGTTAAGGCTCGCCAGAATTCGTCGGTGATCTCGGTGGTCCCATCTTGGTGCCGGCGAACAATCATGACTCCAGGGAGTTCCTTCTTCAGCTCATCGATTGAATCACGCATGCTTTGAAAGCGCTTCTCATTTTGCTTCTCCATATTACCAATGCGGCCCCACACAAGGGTGTCGTCCCCGTTTCTCTTGTACGCTTCCGGCATGATAGCGTCGGTAACCCTTTCGTATGTGTAGACGACGCGGGAGCCCACAGCCTTGAGTAAACTAGGAGTCCCCAACGCCGAGTCAGTGGAATTGGAAGTCATCATGGTGGAAGCGACCCAACCGACGAACAGACAGCCTGAGAGGATCCAGAACATCCACGTGAGAGATTTTTTCCAACGCCATATTGGCTCGTCCTGCTCTTCGAACGATTCAACATGCCCAATCCATGCATTGACTTCGCCAGGGTCCTTTCGATGGGGACGGCGTCGATCTGCCTGGCGCTGTGACTGAGGTAGTGGAGGACCCTCACGCTGCAATCTGGCCTGCTCTTCTGCGACTAAGTTATTGACTGATTGTTCAGCCGGGATTGGGTTGGCACGAGCAGTTGTTTGCTCCGCATTCACTCTAGCTTGGGCCTGGCTTTGAATAGGTGTCTTGAGGACATCTTTTGTTGGTGTCGGCGTCTTTTCTTGGGCCGAACTCGCCTGGGGAGCCTGAACGGGGGTTGGTCCGTTTGATCTTGTTCCATTTACGGAACGGGTGGTGGGCTTGCGGCTTGTCAAGACAGGCTTGACGAATGGCGAGCTTCTGGGCTCATCGCGTATCGGATAAGCCGCAAACGGATCTCGGGATGTTAGCATGCCGGCTTCATGAGCAAGACCAAATGACTTTGAGGTGTTGCCGACAGATGCTGCGACATCATCCTCGCTGGGACCTAGATCATCGCTGTCCATGAAGGAGTAACCGGGGGCGGCTTTGGAATTCAGGGCGTTGTTACGTGGAAGTGGAGGTGAGAAGTGCGACTGCGACTCACTACCCAGCTCATCGATGCTGTCAAGATCATCTCCCTCTTGCTCTGATGATGGAACACCGGATCTGTCGAGCTGGGTCTTGAAGGCCTGGGAGAAACCGGTATTTGGGGCAGTTGTAAGTTTATCAGGATTCCCGACGCGGCCGCTTGCGCCGTAAGCATTGGACCGGCGGGCTTTGACCTGAGTTAAAGTAGTTCTGTTGCGTCTTGTTGAAGCGGCTGCGGTAGCAGTAGTGACGGCAGATTCTTCAGCGACTGAGCTTGCCCTGGTACTGACACGGGCTGAGCGACGGTAGGGTGTGGGGGCATCCCCATTAGCACGTTGAGACATTTCGGCGGGGAATCTGTCGTGAGCATTCAACAGTCCAACGGGGTCGGGGTCCAGGAGGAATGGCACGGTTGATGTTGCTGAGGTGGGGAACTAGTGTTGGGTGAGTTTGGGTTTGTTCAAACGAAGTAAGGAAGTAGTCTGCGAGGGCCATTTAGAACATGACAAGAACAATGGCAGCCAGCAGTGGCATAAGCCGACAATGGCGAGAATGGCGAGCCGGCAACAATAGCAAAGACGACGAAGCCATGCGACGACAGCAGAAGATGAAAATTTTCACCGTGAAGACGGGCGTGACGGTGAGGAGGTTGTCGAGTGGTGCGTGTCGAGCTGGGCGATGAGGCTGGGGTGCTAGGAACACGAGGGTAACCAGGGTAGGAGATGGCGGGAACTTACAGGTGGACTCGAGGACCAGGTGGTCAAGAGACCGAGGTTTACGACAACAGACGCGTTTTGGCAGTGCAGAATTTGATCTTTTGACAGCTCAGAGGGCGATGGGGTTGATGGCGGGTTCCTGCAGCAGGGTCCCTATACACGTGTACGCAGTTTCACGCGTCGGGGCTGGGGGCGCTTACTGCGCTGCTACGCGTGGGCGAGAGGGGTTTGGGAGAGGGGCAGGGCGAGTGCGCAGGACGCGATCATGTTCGTCGAGTCGAGGGCAGTAGTTCTGATTGTATTGATCAATGGCGACAATGGGGGTGGTGAAGGCTCATTGTCGCGCTGCGAGGGTGCAAGGGTTCGGCCAGCGCGCAGACAGCCGGAAGCGGGCGACTAAGCGAGCGCGTCCTCTGAATCCGGCGGTGAGTGACATGGCAGTGCTTTGACGACTCGACCAAGCCTGGAATGACACTGGCACCAGCTGTCTGTCTCTCGCTCGCCTGCTAACACACGCCAGCAGCGTATGCTACCAAGTACTCACACCTACACCTACACCTACACCCACACCCACGCCAAAGCTAGTAGTAGACTACGTAGCGTCTCCGCCGCCAGACAGACAGACATGGATGATGCATGAACCTCCCGCCCCAGGCTGGGGCAGCGGAGCACCATGCCCAAAGGGCCACAAGGCTGATTCTGCCCGTCTCGCATGTACCTGCATCTCCATACATGGTAGTCCCACGATTGTGTCGCATGCTGATACGGGTGCTGTGTGTGTGGTACACCATGTACTCATGTATGTAGGCACACGGCCGCTCCTCCACGAGACTGACATGTCTACTCCCAGTGGTGCTTGCATCTGCAGCCTGCCTCATACATAAAGCCAGCTTGATGCAACTCGCTACAGTTTGGAGCTGTGGGCGAGCACTTGTTCCCCAAACATCTCCCCGTCGAAGAAGAAAAAACCAAAACTAAATACTGCGACAAACTATAGAAAAACCAAATCACTTGCCTTGCATCAAGCAGTCCTTTTTTCTTTGACAGTACCAATGCTTGCGTCGCTGCTTTTTGGGTGTGGTACATATGTACTCACGTACACAAGTTCACATCGTTGCACCGTCTGATGCTCATGCATTGCATTGACTCGACGCGCACCACTCATCCACACTGTGCAAGTAGCTGGTCCAACGCTGTGCCATGCAAATTAGCCCTCACCACTCCTCATCTCCTCCATGATGCCATGATGGCAACGACCAACAAAGCATCATGTTACCAGGCCAGGTACTTGTTCAGTTCCAACCATGCCCATCCATGCCGTATCCGGAAATCTATCCGCCCATGACTGCTTCGGCGTCACTAGTGGCGCATCCCGTGAACCCAGTCTCTCGTGTTGCTAACTTTGCCAAACCTCTGCAACTTCCCATTCAGATACCAGCACCAGATTGTATAAGAGCTGCTCCTCCTCTCGTTTAATCTCTCCACTCTGCACACTCGAAGCCGCAAACATGGTTGTAGGTTCTGTTCTTGTCACAGGGTAAGCTACCCCTCCACCCCGCCATCTACCATCCTGCCATGCCCATGGAACCTTGGTTCTAACCACAGCACAGTGGTACCGGCTACATTGGCTCTTTCACAGCCCTCGCCCTCCTCGAGGCAGACTACAAGGTCGTCATTGTCGACAACCTCTACAACTCGTCAGCCGAAGTCATCAACCGCATCGAGCTCATCTGCGGCAAGCGACCGACCTTTTACCAGTGCGACGTGACTGATGAGGCCGCCCTCGACAAGGTCTTTGAGGAGAACCCAGATATTGACAATGTCATTCACTTTGCCGCCCTGAAGGTCAGTCTTTACCCTGATTTCCAATCTGCCGCCCCAGTTCTGACACCACCTCAAGGCTGTTGGCGAGTCTGGCGAAATTCCTCTCACATACTACCGCGTCAACGTTGGCGGCTCCATTGCCCTCCTTACTTCCATGGTCAAGCACAATGTCAACAACATTGTCTTCTCCTCTTCTGCCACCGTCTACGGCGATGCGACGCGCGTCCCCAACATGATCCCCATCCCCGAACATTGCCCCATCGGCCCGACCAACGTCTATGGTCGCACAAAGTCCACCATTGAAGGCGCAATCACAGACACAATCGAGGCCGAGCGCAACAACGCCAAGAAGGCTGGAAAGAGCGAACAGGAAATCAACAAGTGGAATGCCGCCCTGCTGAGGTACTTCAACCCCGCTGGTGCGCACCCCAGTGGCATCATGGGCGAAAACCCATTAGGTGTTCCCTACAATCTACTACCCTTGTTGGCTCAAGTTGCGATCGGCAAACGTGACAAGCTCCTCGTCTTTGGTGACGACTACGCCAGCAAGGACGGCACAGCCATTCGCGACTACATCCACGTCCTCGATCTAGCGCGCGGCCATCTCCAGGCACTCAACTACCTGCGCGAACAAAAGCCGGGTGTCAAGGCCTGGAACCTGGGTACTGGCAAGGGCTCCACCGTCATCGAAATGATCAAGGCGTTTAGCAAGGTAGTCGGACGTGATCTTCCCTACGAAGTTGCGCCACGGAGACAGGGCGATGTGCTCGATCTGACGGCAAACCCAAGTCTTGCCAACAAGGAACTAGACTGGAAGACTGAGTTCACACTGGAAGATGCCTGCGCCGACCTGTGGAAATGGACAGAGAACAACCCAGAAGGCTATAACCAGCAACCACCAAAGGAATTTGTCGAAGCTTTGAAGAACAAAAAGGCCTAAACAAATCAAGGAAAAGGTTTATTTGGGGGAAAGACAACTCCGAGACATATCTTGGTAACATGGTCACGTGATTTACACATTTCTTGGATACAATTCATCACCAATCCTATGAGCAAGGACAAGCAAAACAAAAAAACATCTGGTAGTTTGGACATTGGGTATAATATGAGATTACATTCAATCCTTGGTCACCTAGGCAATATCTTCAATCGGACAGTTGGGGTGCAGCACGTACACCACCTTGTCATTACCTTCTGCCTGTCCCTGTTCGTCTGCCAGACCTTCACCCCGGATCATCATGAGGTATTGCTCCTGTTTCCACATTGTTAGCACATTGAAACACACATATATATACATCACGCTGCATCTTCAACTTCTTCGCAATACGTACCTTGACAACCTTCTTCAGCACCTTCTTCGCCAGAGCCCGCTCCTTCTCCAGGTCCTCTTGCGTCTCCAACTCATTCTCCTTTTGCTCCAGATACCACACAAGGAGCTCTTCTTCTTCCACTCCGTCTTGCGTCTCTTCTTGGTCTTCGTTGACTCGTTTGACAAACATGTTGCGCATGGCAACGTACTTGTCGTGCGTAATCTTCGTCTTCTCCCGCGGCGCTACCGCCGGCGTCGCCGTCCGGTCTCGTGCTGCCTCCTGCTGGTCATCGCCCATGGCAGCATCCTCGTCTTGCTCGGCAGCTGCCGCAGCCGCGAGAAGAGCTTCGTCGTCGTCATCTTCTACCTCAACGTCGTCCTTCTCCACCGAAATAATCGACTGCCGAAGAAGATTGTAGGCTTCCTTGACGAATTCGGGTGTAATGTCCGTCACGCAGTTCGCTTTTGCAATAGCCTCGGAGAGACGAATCATGCTCTCTAATTGACGCACCGTAATCCGGTAGCTGTTGCGGCCAATGCCGCCTTGAGCGTCGTCTGCACGCAGTTCCTTGTACTTCTCAACGAGGGTTTCCCTTGCTTCATCGGTGAACTCCGGTCTAAACGTCCGCGCAAATCGGATATAGCGCTGTAGCTGCTCCGTGTTAAATTCAGGGTCCACGGCCTCATCTCGGTGCTGGTGAATGCCAACAATGTGCTCGGCAAGATGACGATCAACAGCTTCGTCACACTCGTCAAGAACTACAAAGAATAGATCGAAACGAGACATGATGGGTGCAGACATGTTGACATTGGCGCGCAACGTCGTCTTCCGGTTGTACCGACCGCCTACAGGGTTGGCAGCAGCAAGGATCGAGGTACGAGCATTGAGCGTAGCCTGGATTCCCGCCTTTGCTATCGAAATAGTCTGCTGTTCCATAGCTTCGTGAATAGCGACTTGATCGGCGACGTCCATCTTGTCAAACTCGTCAATAGCGCAGATGCCATTGTCAGCAAGCATCAGAGCTCCAGCTTCGATGGTAAACTCGCCAGTCTCCTCATCCTTGACAACTGCGGCTGTAAGACCAGCAGCCGACGATGCCTTTCCCGAAGTGTAAACGGCGCGAGGAAGGAAGCTGCAAATGTACTTGAGGAACTGTGACTTTGATGTCGAAGGATCGCCGACAATGCAGATGTTAATATCTCCACGGAGCGCCATACCTTCTGGTGTTTCTTTCGACACACCGCCCATGAGCTGGAGGAGCAGACCTTTTTTGATGACCTGGTGACCGTAGACCATTGGTGCAATCGAGTCAACAAGGCGCATGAAAATATTGGGCTTGTGCACCATGTCCTTGAGATCCTGAATCTCAGCAGCAGTCAGAGTACCAAGGTATTCTTCCTGTGCCTCCTCGCCGCTTGTTGCATTGGACTCAATTTGACCCTGGCCCAGAGATGCAAGAATGTTGCTGGCTTGACCTGTCAAATGGTGATTCGAAGACTGCCCAGGAGTTGAGTGGTCGGGCGACACCATGCATGCTAGGAAAGACATGCGATATGTGAGGTCTCGGACACCAAGGGCTTTGAGGCCGCTGACGCCAGATCCACCCACATCATTGCCACGCGTAGCATTTGATGTATCTCTCATTGCTTGTGGTCTCACACCAGGAACACGGAATTGGCTCACGTCAGGAATGACAATGACAGTACCGGTAAAGATGCACTTCTCTCCAGCCTTTGCACGGTCGACCATTTCTCCCCTCAGAATGACGTCCATTGTTCGCGGCATGCTACCAGTGGGGATCTCTGAGCTGTTCTCCTGGATGCGCACCTTTTGCCAATCGACAAAGGTAGATTGCCGAATATCAAGTCGCCAGCCTTCCCTGTTCATACACGTTATGTTGGGACATTGTGTGGGCTCCGTGTATTTGAACGTTTGTTCGATATTTGGCACAACCGTATTGCAAATCTCGCACACAAAAGTTGCCATTGAGAGTTCTGGGCGGACTTCAGAGGTTCGTGTTACAGTGCCCGAGATTGACAACAAGCTACCAATTGACGTGGTGCGGAGCTGCCGAATACGTGAAACGAGGGGCAGATTGTAGAAAGCCAGGGTGAAGAGCTTGTCGGTCTGCTGGTTCGCTGTTTTCTCATTGAGACTCTCATTCTGACTTTCTGAGTTTCCGGCGTTCGAGGTAGCTGTCGCAGAAGCTGTGGAGGCGGGCTGTTTGTGCTGGCGGAAGTACTTGGGTTCGTACTTTGCGATAAGGTTGTGGAGCGATCGAACCATGTAGGGCAGGAACCGATAGTACTCGCTTGCAATGGCAGCTGCAAGGATACCATCTTCGTGCCTGAGCAGGTGCGTGTAGTCGACATAGAGGGTAGAAAGGCCGTACAGCCTCATACCACGTATTTGGGCAATGTAGTATTTGTCTGTAGTAGGCACCGCACTCGATGTTGGAAGTGCTGAGGAGGAGGGGTCTTCTGTATAGCTGTTCTTATGGTTAGCCAGCTTGCATTGTCCATTGTGCATCGTGAAGCTCACTTCTCCAGGAACTCCTGGAAGCGCAGCGAAAGTGTCTCTCCCGTAACATCGACCACTTTTGGAATATCTGTCCGTGGAGCATTGGTACGCCTGCCTGGTACTCGTGCCCCGATGATCTCATCGTCCGGGTCTCCTTCGACATCACTGTTGGCGCCAGCGCTTT